AGCAGAGAAACAAGTAAAACATGCAGGGCTGCGGCCCTCCAGGACCAGGATTGCCCACCCCTGCTTTATAGGTAAGAATCACGCCAAGACAGAAACATGTTAGTCAAGGCAATTAAAAAAGTAAAATTACAATAACAAATGAGACTGAACAGTAAAATTTGTACAAACTATGTTAAGGTTGCAAAAAAAGACCAATAAACCTAAATGACAGAAAGTCACGTCATTCACTTAAACCACCGCTAGATGGCGGTAATAATTTCTAATATAATTTATTTAAAAGGTAATTAAAATTTAGTTTATCCATTTTAAATAATCTCGTTCCGTAATGTAATTCAAACAGTTTTTATTATTTGTTAGTTCGTTAACTTTTTTGTGAGTTAATGAAGCAGTTTGACCGTTTTTCTGTAGACCTTTAAAATATGTATATTAAATCATTGTTTTTTTTTTTTAAATAGATTACATATATTTGATATGGATTTGTGATGCAAACACTAAATACAACTGAAAAAAGTATAATACTTTGCTTGGTCCACGTYAAACGCAAGGCTTAGTAAATATATTAGTCATCAATTTAATAAAATAAAATAAAACAAACAAAAAAATAATTTAGATTACATCTGACTAAAGTGTGTTTTTTGTGTCGCTTTATTACCTTTCTGCATACTGCTTTCTATACTAAGCCTGTGGCTGTTCTATATTTTTTTTTTTAGTCTGTGAGCATACCATTTTCCCACAATGCTTTGCTGTCGAGCTGTATCAGATTTTTGATTAAAGGAGCAACGTTACAGCGGTGGGAATCGAGCCAAATCTCCCTAATCTCCAGGCTCTCTCTGACGATATGATGTGCGACACCACGAACAGGAGTTTTCGGACACAACTGGCCGTAATCCTGGACAAGCTAACAAAGGCGGCTTTGGTTGAGATCAGCAGTCTGGCAGATGAATGCTCCTCCGTCCTTCACACCGAGATCTCTCTGCACAAGACGGAGAACGAGGCGCTGAAGAAGCGGTGTTACTCACTGGAGGTTCAGCTGAGAGCAGCCAGGGAGGGACAGTGCTATCCTGGACACGTCAACAGCAGTCTGAGCCGCAGACAACTTCCAGGTCAGAAAGCTGGACAAAAGGTTCTGTAGTCAGCCACACCAGAGGCTATCTATCCCCCCCACCCGACACCAACACAACATATATGCATATACGTTACAGATGCTGTCTAAACCCATTTTTTTTCCTCGAGCTGATTTGTTCTGTTTAAAAAAATGCATATCTTTGCTATAATCTACATCAGCCTTATTTTGTCACCTGCTTCTTCTTCTAGATCAGCACCAGTCGACTCCAGCCATAGATGGGGTGTTTGGAAAAGACTGGTGCATGGACCTGTGGAGAGAAGAGAAGCAGCCCCATCAAAGTCGAGAGTCGATGGAGACCGCCGCAATGACAAACTTAGAAGTACAAATCACTCAGCCTGCTAAATGTACTGTTTGAGTTGTATAGTGGGCTGGATTTATAATTTGTTTTGTTTTGTTTTGTAGATAAGTAGCATGATGGGAAGAGAACCTGATCTAATCTTTGTTAAGGAGGAGACATATGACGACCATCCCATTAATCAACAGATGGGGCTTGCTGACAGCCAGAAAAGTGAGTGCTGACYGAAAACAAACTTTATAATCCCGTTGTTATGACTTAATTGCATTTATTTAAATYGTTTTGCAGTTGTTGGGATGTTCGAGGATGACATGCTTCGTAGATCTGTTGATGAACTTCAGCTTCACTCTGGAGAACTGAACAGTTTCCCCATGATGTCCGAAAGCCAGCTGCAACAACGCACACAGCCAACAATTGCAGACAGATTAATAGATAATGCGACAATGAGCAGTCTGGCTGAAAACACAAATCCTCCTTCAGCCGCTGTGGAAAACTCAGACTACACCAACAGTATCCAGACGAACGCGACCAAAGGGCCCTCTTTTTTGCCAAAACCCATTAAGCCGGCAAAGCGGTTCGAGTGTTTATTCTGCGGGAAAATCTTTAACTATTTGAGCAGTTTGAAAGTCCACATTAGACGACACTCTGGAGAGAAGCCGTTCAGCTGCTCGGTGTGCGGCAAGCGTTTTGCCCAGAAAACATACCTAAAACTGCACCAGAGAGTGCACTCAGGAGAAAAGCCTTACAGTTGTCCAGACTGCGGCAAAAGCTTCTCCCAGAAAAGCTCGTTGAACATCCATCTTCGGACRCACACCGGTGAAAAACCGTACAGCTGTATGGATTGTGGTAAATGTTATGCATATAAATACGGTTTGAATCACCACCAGTGTTTCAACTGGTTAATCAAACCAGAAGTATTTGAYGGCGGCGCCCTCAGTGCTGCTCAGGGTGACACGTGTGGCAGTATGTCACTACAAACCTCAAGCATGGATGAAATGAACTTATTCAATGTAAAGAAAGGGAACTTGTAATGCCTGATGTTACCGTTGCTGCTGTCTGACGTGTTTTTTTGCTTTATTGCAGACAAATGGTGCAGCAGAAAAGCACCTATTTGTTCATGTCAGATTGAGTTGAACATCTAAAATTTAAAAACCTCATCCACTAGCAGGGGGACCTAGCTGCTAAGAGGATAATGTTAACCTCCGTTTTATCAATTCATGTGTATGTACCTCATATCTCAGGCCACCAAAGCCCTGTCTCAGTAAAAGCCAAAAGTTAACCTGGGCAGGTGCTCCTGGCTGACGTTTAAAACTACCTCCTTTTAGCAAAGTAAAAAAAATATATATAACAACTCTGTTTTATTAACTAGGTATCACCACCACTCTGTACTTTTTAAATGCCATGCCTCGTTTTTTTTTTTTGGGCATTAAACTGAGTGTGGAGGCCTGCCTCCTTTAAAGAACAGAACTGTTGTAAAAATGTTTGTCTTGGTATTCTATTAAAATAAATGCCAAAAGCTGTTGTCTTTATCTTTGAATCATTTTTATGGTTATGTTATACATAAAAATATTTAGTTTTGCCATCATGCAGCCTTTATCAGAAACAGAAATGGTTTGTACTAAATAGTTTGCCTGCGATGTTTTCCTGAACATGCAGATGAGTCCACTGATTGGTGCATTCATGCTCTCCGTGATGAGTTCTGGCTCGTTGCGACCGGACTCTAGCGATGAATCTTTCAGCTTAGGCTTTGATTAGTAAAAATAGCTTTAGTGAGTTATAATAAAATAAAATCGAAACATGAACATTTATGGCAGTTTTATTAAACAGACAACACTGAAACAAACTTACTTCGAAAATATTTTGTACTCCAGATTTTTTTATTTGATACTACACATTGCTAACATGAAATCTACTTTTACTGTAGTGTAAAAACTGGAACAGTGTACTGTAAAGAATAAATAAATCGAAACTAATGATCCTTTACTACAACCAGTCACTGACAGGATTCTGCTGCAATGTTTTTAGCTTGTTTCTGACCGTCTGGCCTCTCTCCAACAACCTCACGATTTAAGTGTGCCATCAAATGATGATTGAGGTTGACTTTTTGCGTGAAGTTCTTCCCACATTTAACACAGCGAAAAGGCCTCTCGCCAGTATGGATACGCAGGTGACATTTTAGGTTGCCTTTCTGGGTGAACCGTTTCCCGCACAGGCTGCACCTGTAGGGTTTCTCTCCTGTGTGGACGACATAATGAATCCTTAGAGCTGACGGGTTAGCAAAGGTCTTTCCGCACAGCTCACACGACTTGGCGATCCTCTGCGAGGGAACAGGAGGCACGCAGCTGTGGGAGTTTAGCTTGTTTCTGTGTGAAAAATGCTGCATACAAATGCTGCAGAAGTTTAAATTGTGTGACTTCATGTGCTTTGTCAAAGTGCCCTTGTGAAAGAACGACCTGTCACATATTTGACATGTAAAGGTGCCTACATTTGAAGCTCTGTTGCTTTGTACATTACTGATGTCATCGTGTGAAGTTTTATCCAGGGCTGCATGGTTTTCAGGATTGTCTAATGCTAACAGCTGCTGTTCGTCACGGCTGGGCCCAGCTGCAGAGTTTTTTGCTGATTCCTGTTGGCTTGCTTGAACAAATTGGACATCATCATCATCATCATCATCATCATCATCTTCTTCTTCATCATCAAAATCCTCCTCCTCTTCGTCCTCTTCATCCTCCACCTCCTCTACTTCTATCGGAATAATATGACTGCTGAAGATCCCATCTGYATCGTTGATAGATATCATTTGAACAGTTGCTTTTTTAACACCTCCCGCTGAMACCATTTGCTTTCCAGCCTGATCAAATGACAAACAAGTGCTGCTGCCGTCCATCGAGTAATCCACTGACAGCTGCTCTGATCCCTCTGCCATGCTCTCTTCATCATCTGTTGTATAAAAGGTAAAAAGAAGTAAAGCTAATATAACTCACCTGCATATTTATCCCACTATATTGTAGTTCCAGCCACCTATTATACCTTTAGTGCTGAGAGATTTCTCCTGGGAGAAAGTGGTAGCATCTTGCATATATGCCTCCTCTTTGACATCAGTAACTGTTACCTGGTCACAGAGCATCTCCACWGACTGTTACACAGAAAAGAAAAGTTGAAGTTAAAGTTCAACAGACTAACATAGAAATMATAGAAAGCTTTGCAACATACACATATTGTAAACGCAGGGCTTGCATTTCGATAATTTAATGTTGAGGATCATAATGAACACTTTCCAGACATTTTATATGATTACATAACAGTTATTTTTAACGTTATAATTATGCAATTACATTTTTAAATCAGTCTAAAATGACAATGAGAAAAGTATTGGCAAATATGACATGTTCATAAATACCATAACACGCTTTAAAGAAATGGTTTTACCATTTCTTACATTCAGTACGCACATATACAAGGCAGCATACCTCATACAAAAAGAAAAAAATTGTATAGGTCTTCTGGACGGGTTCTTCTCTAATGAAACGTTTCGTCTCTTCTCCAAGAGACTTCTTTAGTCTGAGAGTTTCAAGCAAAATTCAGGCTTTTAAGCATTTTTTAAAAATTTTGCCTGAAACTCTCAGACTGAAGAAGTCTCTTGGAGGAGAGACGTAACGTTTCATTAGAGAAGAACCCGTCCAGAAGACCTATACAATTTTTTTCTTTTTGATTTTTTACCTGGATTACTGAGATGCATCAGGACATACCTCATACATGCTAGTGATATGGGAACTAAATTATTTATTATATAAATTATTTACTGCAACACTGTGATAATCAGCTAAAGGTGTTCATGTATTCAGAATCTACGATATTCCAGTGTAACTTCCTCTCACCTTCTCAGGGGGTTGTGGTGAGCCTGTGGATTTCTGCAGACTGTCTCTGTCTTTCCATAGAGTCATGCACCAGTCTTTTCCAAATATCTCATCTATAGTAGGAGGAGCAGAAACTGAGGAGACAAAAATAATAAAATAAAAGCAAAATAAAAAAATAAAATTGAATACAGRTTTTTTTTGTGCATTTTTCTCTATAAATAAAAATACCATCAGGAGCATCCTCGTCATCTGTGCAGCACACAGTTTGAACACCTATGCTTCGGTGGTTTTTACTCATCTTGGAGGAATCTCTTCTTACAATCGTCAGCTTACATTCGAGGCTGTTCACTTTCTCTGCCAGTGCTGAATTTGCAAACAACAGCCGGGAGATCTCCGACCTCAGTTCAGCCGAGTCCTCCTCAACCACTGTGCAGACCCGAGCCAGGACGGACTTGGCCATCGTCTCCATGATGGACGAAAGCTGAGAGTGCAAAGAAAGACGGCTCGCCATCGCAGATTGGGGTYAGACCAAGGCTCCTGGCCGATCCAAATAAAGAAAACTACGACACAAATGCAAGTACGTTGCTCAACATGAAACCAAAAACATTCATTAGTAAAACACGTGGATATAATGAAGCGAATTTGAGTTAAAGGGACCCGAAAAGCGGGACCCAAATAAAAGTTGCAAACGATACGTATTTCCGGTTTGGGTGTTGTGCTGAAAAAARCACCCCTGGCGTAAAAAAGCATGACATCACGAGACTCGCTGTTTTGTTCACAAATAAATTAGGTGAACTTAAACAAAAGTTACAAACTTGTGCTTTTATAAAACTCAGTTATCTATATTTCTTTCATTTTCACTTTCGTATGTGGTCAGGGTGCCTTTTTTAGGACAAACTACAGTGTATTGTACTCCAATATAAAACCTTTTTCAGGTACCGGGTGATTAATATTAGTAGACAGCATACATTTGTATATGTTTTTAATYYAAAACTTTTAGTAGATAGTGTAATWATAAAAAAWAAGTGATTTCGTCATATGTGTCTCGTGATGGGATCGCTTATCACGGGGCGTTGCATTTTTTGGTACAACACCAGCGGATGTAACTGGTCAGCTGCGTTTGTTACAGCGCTTCCTGATTAGCGAATGAAACCATAAACTGCATTTTTCTCCTCGATATTTTGACCTAAATGCCTACCGCTTCGTTGCTTATCAACAGAAACGTAAGTAGACGTGATCCTCGACAGTCGCGGTGGTGAAAATGAACACAGATAAGGACTTTTCGCCGCTGACGCCCAACATCGTCAGGGCTCTGAATGATAAACTGTATGAGAAGAGGAAAGTCGCTGCTCTCGAAATAGAGAAGCTGGTCCGGGAGTTCGTTGCGCAGAATAACTCCACTCAAATCAGACATGTGATCCAGATTTTGGCATCGGAATTCGCTCTTTCCCAGCACCCTCACAGTCGGAAAGGGGGTCTCATTGGGCTTGCAGCTTGCTCCATTGCACTGGGAAAGGACTCGGGTCTGTATCTGAAGGAGCTTATTGAGCCTGTACTCACGTGCTTCAATGACTCAGACAGCCGCCTGCGCTACTATGCCTGCGAGGCCCTTTATAACATTGTGAAGGTGGCCAGGGGAGCCGTGCTGCCACACTTTAACTTGCTGTTTGATGGTCTCAGCAAGCTTGCRGCAGACCCAGACCCCAATGTAAAAAGTGGATCTGAACTCCTGGACAGGCTGCTCAAAGACATTGTTACAGAAAGCAACACATTTGACCTGGTAGCGTTTGTCCCCCTGCTGAGGGAAAGAATCTATTCAAACAATCAGTATGCCAGACAGTTCATCATTTCTTGGATCCACGTGCTAGAGTCTGTGCCGGACATTAACTTGTTAGAGTACCTCCCAGAGATTCTGGATGGACTGTTTCAAATCCTGGGCGATAACAGCAAGGAGATCCGGAGGACGTGTGAGGTGGTCCTGGGAGAGTTTCTGAAGGAGATTAAGAAAGCGCCCTCTAGTGTGAAATTTGCTGAGATGGCCAACATCCTCGTAATTCACTGTCAAGTTCCGGATGAAGCCAAACTCACAAACGATCTGATCCAGCTGACAGCTATGACGTGGATGAGGGAGTTTATCCAGCTTGCGGGCAGAGTGATGCTCCCTTATTCCTCTGGCATCCTAACTGCAGTGCTCCCTTGCCTGTCCTATGATGACAGAAAGAAGAATACCAAAGAAGCTGCCAGTGCATGCAATAACAGTCTGATGAAGCTGGTGACTCCTGAGGACGACGAGGATAAAGAGGAGGAAATGAGTGGAAGCGCTGGGTCACCGTCCACAGGAGAGGGCCAGCCTAAAGTGGAGGAAGACTGCAATGATATGCTGAATGCATCACAAGAATCTGTAGGTCTTAGTAATATCAGTTTCTTCACCCCAGCAAGTGCCGACAGGCCTCAGGTAACTCTGGATCTTGATAGCATTGTACAGGTACTGGGCCGCCACCTCCATGACTCATCTACTGGCATGATGACCCGCATAACTGTCCTCAAATGGCTTTATCACCTCTACATTAAGACACCACGCAAAATGTTCCGTCATACCGACAGTCTTTTTCCAATTCTGCTCAAAACCCTGTCTGATGAGTCTGATGAGGTGATATTAAAAGACCTGGAGGTGCTGGCTGAAATAGCTTCATCTCCTGCTGGCCAAACGGATCAACCATCCTCTTGTGACCACATGGACAACAAACTGGTCCTCAAGGTTCCGGCGGGTCCCAAAACAGGACAGCAGCCCAGCACGGGCACCAAAGCTGCGGATTCCTCCCCCTCCACGCCCAGTATGAACTCCTATTTTTATAAATTCATGATCAACTTGCTCAAGCGTTTCAGCCTGGAGAGGAAGCTTCTGGAGAACAGGGGAGCTTTCATCATCAGGCAGCTGTGCCTTTTGCTTCACGCTGAGAACATCTTCCACTCCATGGCTGACATCTTACTGAAAGAAGAGGACCTCAAGTTTGCCTCCACCATGGTTCAGACCCTCAACACCATCCTGCTCACCTCCGCTGAACTCTTCCAGCTGCGCAATCAGCTGAAAGATCTGCATACTCAAGAAAGCTGTGCTTTGTTCTGCTGTCTGTATCGTTCCTGGTGCCACAACCCCGTGGCCACTGTGTCACTTTGCTTCCTCACGCAGAACTACAAGCATGCCTACGACCTCATCCAGAAGTTTGGAAACCTGGAGGTGACCGTGGACTTCCTGATAGAAGTTGACAAGCTGGTGCAGCTCATTGAAAGCCCCATTTTTACCTACCTGCGGCTGCAGCTCCTAGATGTGGAGAACAACCCGTACCTGATTAAGGCGCTGTATGGTCTGCTGATGCTGCTGCCACAGAGCCAGGCCTTCCAGCTCCTCTCCCACCGCCTAAAGTGTGTTCCCAACCCGGAGCTTATGAGGACTGTGGATGAATCCAAGCATATGGACTCCAAAAAGCAAGCGACTTGTAAACGCGCCTCTCCCAGTCACATGGATTACAGTGAGCTGCTCCAGCATTTTGACCGTGTTCAAAGCAAACACCTGGAGGTCCGGCACCAGCGTTCTGGGCGAGCCCCTGATCCCCACGACAGAAAGCTGATGTGAAGTTTTTAATCCCATAAAGATCTTTGGTTTATGGGAAAATTAAGAGTAGAACATAAGTGAATGTATGACAGGAATAATAATTGACTGAAAAGAGCTAATGTTATTAAGTATTACAAATTAACAATTTTGTGTGACAGGCAGTGGCTTTACAAAAACAGCTGTTTTATTTTTGGCATTCCTCCTCAGACAGAAAATGTTTGAAAAACTATTCTAAACTGAAAGGATGTATTGTACTTGACACTGTCATAAAAACAAATTAATACTTCTAACAATGTGCAACAAATAGTTATTACAGTGGCTTGCATGGAAATTAAGTTTAGTATTTTTTATAGTAAGTCTTGTGAAGCAGTACTTATTGTAAACATGTGTTTGAGATTCTCATAATCTCATGCCAAAAAAAAAAAATAAAAAAAGACGCGTGTCTTTGGACTCTGGATTCTGTGCAAACCCGTGTTGTTCCAGACTAGTTTTACCTTGCAGTACGTCAGCTTTTAATTTAGTTGCTTATGCATTTAACAGCATTTTTGTGTGCACTGTTTTATTCAGTGTGATGTTTGTTTTGCACTCTTGTTATTCAGGTACAAATAACAAAAAACAACATTAAAGTCRTCAGTGTAACTGAAAATAATCTTTTATAGTTGAATTTCTTTAAGTGAAGTGTTTGTGATTTTAGTTTACATTGGGATAATAATGTGCTTGAACAATAATAATGCTAGAACACAAATCTCAGGTGTTTTCAAGCAGCAGTCTAAGTGGCCTTTTTGCTCCATCAACACAAACTTACTGTGCAGCATTCAGTCAAGTAAACTGACCTGCACAACAAAATACTGGGTTACAGAACAAACAAGCTCAGATTACTGTTAAATACCGTTGACATTAACAAATTAATCTTTAACATGGCTGCTCTACCGTGAGCATTAAATGAACTCTTTCTTGTTTTAGACAAGTGGTCATGTACACCAAGTCCACCATTCACCCCCCAAAAATGAAAAACTGAGGCCTAGATCAAAACTTTTACTAAATGAAATCTGCCAGAAATCACCTCTTCTTGCCATTCATATACGAGTTATTTTTTTCTCTTTTCTTGAGTGATCTGGTTGAGTTATTACAACTAGATGAGTCATAAAAGACTTAAAAATGCCAGCATTTGTTCATATTTTTTCGTCCTTCTTTAGGTTTATAATATTTCAGCTGATCTACAGAAATACAATCTCTTGCGTACGAAGTGAGATTTGTTTTATTTAGACAGGTGTTTATTTGAGAACTTGCAACGATTACTGGCAAGCTCAGCACAACGTAAGATATGCCTTTGAGAGCTGAAGTATTAACACTTATTTCTGAGGTTAAGATGAAGCAGCCTGCCAGGGAGAAGGGGTGGGGCTTAGAGCCTTGCCCTTTCATCACAGTGCTGGGACAAAGCATGGCCACCAGACATGCTCGTTCTAAGGATGACCTTTCCTGTCCAATTTGTGGACATATTCTCAGTCAGCCAGTAGTCCTCACTTGCAGGCAYAGGTTTTGCACAGCCTGTTTAAAAGACAGCTGGGACACACAAGATAGCAAAGATTCCCAYTACTGTCCCCTGTGTTGGCGACGTTCCTCAATGGATCAAATGGTGGTTAACACCGTGCTGGAGAAGGCCTGCGAGTCCTTTAAAGAAGACAGAAGAATGAATGATCCAGAAACGTGTAAAGAACACGGAGAAACGCTCACACTCTTCTGTTTGGAGGATTTGGAGCCTATTTGTGGTGTGTGTGGCAAAGCAGCTGCACACAAGGGGCACAGGCTCTATCCTGTTCGGGAAGGTGCTCATGACTGCAAGGTAGGCATGGTCTCATCRCAAGGCTGCTCAAATCACTATTTTTCACTGTTTTAACTGCAGTGCAGTTTTTACATGAAGTATTTAGAATATACTGGAATAACAAAGCCGTTTCCCTGTTTTATGCCAATGATTCTACCTGGAAGAAATACTGAGAATCTTTGTAAAAATTTATCTGCAACAGGGTTTTGAATAATGGRTAAATATTAAGTTACAGGTAAAACCCCCAATGACTAAAATACCATTTTTTGTGTGCCTAAACATATGAGTTTTAATTTTATTGGGAGTTAGTTGGGAAAATGTGTTCCCCTGAATATATATTTAAATTCTTTTGCACTTCTCAGTTTCATATGCTGATCTAATGTGTGAGGGGTTTTGGGCAGAGTTTATTAACATTCTAATTATAGACTCATATATTTAGCTTCCTGTTGCTATTCAGGGTTCGAAAGAACCGAAACTCGACTCCCACAAGGTTTTAGTGACGCTACATTCAGTCTAACCCTGGATTCCCAAGAGACCAGAAAACATGAAGCACTGATGTCAGATTATTCTGTTGTTTGTTTTATTGTACAAATTCCTGGATTGTCAGCATCATCTCTGTTTTGTTGATGTTTTCTTTAGATTTTTCCTGTTGATTCTACTGTTTTGTAATGCTTTGCATTTTCATGGCATGCAGCAGTGGAGTATGTGACAGCTGAAAGCCCCACTGTGCTGACAGCTTGGCCACCTGCCAGTCTGATCTTGTTGTAGAGTTGATGCCCTGTCACTGATATTTCAGGAGGAACTGAAGAGCGCACTGCTGCCCTTGAAAGAGAAGTTACAGCWGTACAAAGGCGCAAAACTCGTGTGTGAGGAAATGGCAGAACACGTGAAGGTACTGTCAATCCCACATTTGACCATAAACAGATAACCAGTAAGAGCTCAAGTGGGAAAGCAGGCAATAGCTGTCAGTCATGTCTCTTTCCAGAACCAAGCCAAACACACTGAATCCCAGATTAAAGAGGAATTTAAAGCCCTTCATCGTTTCCTGGAAGAGCAGGAGGCTGCAAGACTCGATGCTTTAAAACTTGAGGARGATCAGAAGAAGCTCATGATTGAGGATAGGATTGAAGAAATTAGCAACGAACTGGAATCTCTTTCTAACACTATCAAAGTAGTGGAACAAGAAATGAAAAGCCACAATATTCCATTTCTTATGGTATAAAAAACACACAAGCTTAACCTAATTGATGTACTGTACATTCATGTTATAAGTTGATCTTTTTTCTTTCAGAATTACAAGGAAACAATTAGAAGGTAAAATTTTGGATCATGTTTGGCAACTTGTAAATATAACACATTTAAGAATAACTCTCAAAAACTAACATCGGCAGTRTCCTTTCAGAACTTGGCAACGGCCTCGTGACCCACAACTTCTATCAGGYGCTCTAATTGATGTGGCCAAGCACTTGGGCTCTCTGAAGTATAAAGTATGGGAGAATATGAAGAAAATTATTCAATATGGTAAGTTTCACGAGTAAYGTGCAAGCATGTTCAAAAATGTTTTTGAATATACGATTGACTTCTTATTTTGTTTCATTAAGCTCCGGTGATTCTGGATCCCAATACAGCAGCTAGCTGCTTTATCCTCTCTGAAGATCTCACAGTTGTGCAGAACTCTACTCAGATTTTCAAGCTTCCRGACAACCCAGAGCGCTTTGACGTCAGTGCTGAGATGCTTGCTGCCGAGGGCTATTCTGCTGGACGCCATAGCTGGGAAGTGGAGGTAAATGGCAACACCTACTGGGTTGTAGGAGTAGCCAGTGAGTCCATCAACAGAAAGGGCAAGCACGTGCTGACACCAGCTGAGGGATTCTGGACTATAAGATACCGCAATGGAGAGCATAAAGCCTGTACCGCACCATGGGAGCCGCTCAACATGACTAAGAAACCAGAAGTTATAAGAGTGGTTTTGGATATGGACAGAGGCAAAGTGACATTTTATGACCCCAGAGAGAGAACACCCCTCTACACCTTTGAAAACATCATAACACCCAGAGCCTTTCCCTACTTTTGTACTGCCTGTAAAGAGCAACCCTTAAAGATCCTTCCAACAAAAATATATTTGTCAACAGATMGATAATTTAACTTGGAGATGGAATTTCAGTTGTTTTTTAAAATAATGAAGCTCTTCTAAAAATTAGTTTGTGAATATTGTTTTTGTTCAATAAATGATGCGTGTTCACAGGACAGCATGCACTTCAAAATGAAAGTTRCAAAAAAAGCAGATGGGAACTGCTTACATGTGAAATGTCTTAAATAAATTACATAAAACAAATGCATTTTGAATTTGTTTAATTTGAGTTACAACAAAATACTTAGCGTTTTTAAATCACAACACCTAACATCTATAAGATTTGTTACATAAAATGACAGTCATGGTGTGTTCGTTAGCTTCTTTGCTGATATTTGTATGTAAACTCCTTTCCATAAAAAGCATTAAAAATATAAAATACGTTTGGAGTTTTATAAAAGGCACATACACAGAGTGCACAATTTGCAAACCCATGCCAGTGTTGTTTAAAGGACCAAATAAAATGAAATATTTATGCATGGCACTCGATAAAGATCTAATGATTAGCTTGAGTTCATCATGTTTTTGAACTAGCAGCCGTTGTGTATTTAAATTAAGTCTTTGACTCATTAAAACAAGCAGGAGTAACACAATAGTAACATTTAAACCTACACATTATTAATCTAGCAGCTCACAGTATTTTCTATAACAAAACTCTTGACTTGATGCTACCACTTATTTCCTAAAAACATTAATGTAACGTGTATCCTATTTGAAATAAACTGTGGAGGAGTTCCACTGTGTGTGGTACGCTCAAAGGCTTTATGAGGTGTTCATTTAATAACTCAAAATAAATTAATAAAGGGATCAAATGCCCTAACATCATTTCCTAGTTTGTTAATCAAGCAGTGTTGAAATATCATCTGTAACAGTGCTCTATGTTAATACTCTTCCCAGATCTGTTCACTGAATACTTAAAATCCAGAAGTACGACAGAACTTACCGATGTAGACATTATAGTTTGAATCTCTCTCTCTCCCTCTCTCTTTCTTTCTCTCTCTCTCTCTCTCTCTCTCTCTCTCTCTCTCTCTCTCTCTCTCTCTCTCTCTCTCTCTCTCTCTCTCTCTCTCTCTCTCTCTCTTTCTCTCGATCGAGCACCTGTGAGAACTGTTTAACTGAGGCACTTGTGCTTTCCTGCTATGACCCCTTCACATCATAAAGACATTCTTCCCTCCAATATAGTGCTGTAGAGCTCCTCGTTCATGACCTCGTATCGTGCCAATCTACTGTTCAAAAAGTAGATCTGGTCAGTTGTGAGACGTGGGTCAAAACCTTCCTTCTGCAGCCTGGTTTTCTGGATTTTAAATGTACCTATACAGAAATATTTACATGCATCAAAATATATTTCTTCCATATTAAATTCTAAGTGATCACATGAAGTGTATTTCTCATTTAAATGATATTAGTGAGTCACTTCACCTGTGGTGTCTACTTGTGGGGAGATTCGCAGGAACAGCGGGCGTGCATAGGGAGGAAGAACTCGCTGAATCTTTTGCAAGAAGCTGTTGCAGTCGAAACTTCCAGTAGCGTCTGCAATGGCAGCCATGCCTGCCTTACCTTCCACACCTGCAACAAAACATGGTGATAAGCATTAAGCATTAAAAGGACATTACAGTTAAGGCTCCAGTATGATTGTGAAAACACTTGTAGGTACAGCAAAAAGGCTGTTAGTAAAGACAATCACCTGGCACTGCCACACCRTACACAGCCACATCAGTTTGATCAAGAAGATTGCTGAGTATGCCTTCCACCTCTGTGGTAGAGACGTTTTCCCCTCGCCATCGGTAAGTGTCCCCACTGCGGTCACGGAAGTACATGTAGCCGAGTTCATCCATCACTAGTACATCACCTTGGATGAACAAAAAGTGAAATAGCTTCAAAATTTAAGTTGAAAACAAGGTAACATTTTACACCTTATTTAGCCTTATTAAATCAGTAATAAATGTTTAGTTAACCTTGAAAACATCATTAAGGATAATTCGCACTTATTAAGCTATAAATTAACACATTTATAAAGGCTAATTACTTCCAAACTTAAATTTAAATTGTAAGCGTTACTAAAAAAACATTAAAAAAAGACTGTCAACCTGATAAATAGGCTGAATCATTTTTCTTGAAGACATTGTTAGCGATCTTCTTCTTTGTTGCATCCTGGTTAGCATAGCCATCGAACCGCCGCAAAGGATCCTTCTGATTGATCCGACCCACCAGAAGTCCCGGTTCCCCTGCAAAGCAGACGAGTCTAATTSTTATCCTTCACTCTTTTTTCAATCATCAAATTACAAATAATAAAGACTCCCAAATTACATCAAACAAAGCCATCCTTGCTATAAACCATGATAATTACCAGGGCGGCAAGGCACGCAGAGGCCCTTACTGTCCCGAATAAGTTCCATTGTGTCTTCGTTCACCTTCACCAGGCGGATGGGGTACACAGTCGGGATAATGCGACTGTTGAATCCACACGCTCCCACCTGGCAGAAGGTTATCAGGTAAGTTCTTACCCAACCAATTGTTTTCTGATTATTAGCACACAAATACTGTATAACAATGAACCAACCTTGCCATCCATGTTAGCAATGCTGCAGTTGCACTCAGTTGCTCCATAGAACTCGCCAATCTGTGCCACGCCAAATCGTTCCATGAAGGCTTCCCACACACTGGGGCGCAGTCCATTCCCTACTGCCAGACGAATTTTGTGGTTCTTCTCAGCTGGGCGGACTGGCTGAGATAGCAGGTATCGGCAGATCTCCCCGATATACTGCATCACCTGTAAAGAGATAAAAAGAAAACTTAATATTGCTTCAGTGATTCATCCGAGTTTCTGCTCTAAATTCATCAAATACGGCACCAGTGAATATTAGTTAAGCTTTGGCGCTTACGGTACAGTTGTACTTAATGCAGTCATCCCAGAAGCGGCTGGCAGAGAATTTCTTCTTCACCACCACAGTGAGGCCATAGATTAGACACTGTCCAACTCCAATAATATTACCTGTAAAGAAAAGAATGTTTGTATATGTTTGACACACTGTATTTAACTAAATCTAACTTGTTGGCTAATGTAATATTCAAAAAATGTGGCGGAGCACAGCTTACCTGCTGAGTGATAGAGTGGCAGGCAGTCATAGACGATGTCATCAGAGCGCATGCGAAAGGCGAAATGACCAAAAGCTGCAATTCTGTAGTATCTGTTGTACGAAAACAAGAGATTTTCAGACATTTTCAGTGACTGCACAGCATCTGTAACAACCCATGAGAACACTTTTTTTTTTTTTGGTGAGCGGCTGTTTAAGAAAACATACCGACTGTGCACAACAATGGCAGCCTTTGGCAGTCCAGTGGTTCCAGAGGTGTAAATATAAAACAGTCGGTCTGCAGAAGAATATAAAGAGACACATCAAAATTGCATTTGGCATTTTTAAAACATTTCCAAAGAATTTTATACAGTAAATGTTCAAATTAAGCAAAAAAAAAAAAAAAAAACAAAAAAAAAACAACACCTAACAGAAACAAACAAAAAAAATTAATAATAAAATAAAAATTTAAAAAATTGCTACAACCCTCAAGCCACCTTATGCTTCCTGCTTAGTTTAGTAGTGGCAGTCCTTTACTGCTACTCATTTGAGTATAAAATATGCTCATATCTGTTTAAGGATAAAGTTCATGTGACTAAAGGTAACTGTGATTTTTACAGAAACATCAGTAGAGTTGTTGAAATATTATTTTGTTTCTTATCTGACAGTGCCACATTGGCAACATATTTATTTTCATGCAGAGCGGCTAACTGAGATCTGATCACTAAGTAAAAATTTTACTTCCAGGTCTGATCACTCATATTTAGAGCTATTCACKTTATCTGATCAGTGCCAGGTCTGAACAGAGCTAACACATGAGAACATATCCAGATCAAATCCCTCAGGCTTCTTTCAGAGACAGTCTTAGACACAAATTACATTATTTTACTTCTACCCTTGTCAAATATAGGACACCAAATTTAACTTAAACAGCATTTAAACACCATAACCTAGCAGCACATGTAAACTCCACACAGCACATCCACATGGGACAAAACCTTGAATCTCTTGCTGCAAGGCAACACCTCTAACCACTTCACTGCATACATACTAATTTTTACAAATCATTGTTGAAACAGGGTTCCTACAGTTTAAGGCAAGTTAAATTTCAGACTTTTTAAGACCTCTTTAATGCCACTTGAAACTAAATTTAAGACCAATATCACAATAAACATTAATGGGGGAAAAAAACCCAGTTAGCGACAATTTTAGCCAAATGTTTATTTCAATACAAAACAACTAACAGCGAGGGACATTCAATAAATTATTTAAATAGAAAAACAAACGTTACCAATTCATTTAATATTTGAGAGGAATTACAATCATCTTCCTTACAATGTGTTAACATTTTTAAAACCTCTGAAAGATTGATTTAAGACTTTTAAAGGCTAATTAAGGCCTTATTTTTGGACTGATAAATTCAATGCCTTTTAAGACTTTTTAAGGATCCGCAGGAACCCTGTTAAAGTACCATTCTGTTTTTCATTATTTGAAGATGCATTGTTTTTCTGCAGAGCTGGTTGCATTTTAAGGAGTGAGCTGTTCTTTCCGTAAGTGACAAGTAATTGGTTTCATTTAGCAAAACAAACTGTTGCTGCCGGAGGGCTTTTTAAAAAAAATATTTCACAATGTTTCGTTCTTTTCAAACAGGATTTTTGCGCAATTTTATTAAGAAGATTTATAGCAATTTAAAAATACAGCACCATTTTGATAGCAAGGTGCAAGACCAAAACCTCATAAAATATTCAAATAAATTTAAGTAAAATGCAGCTGATCAACCATGATCACAGCTGACTTGACTGCAGTATAATTTGTGGACAAATGTGCACATCAACTGACAAAGATGTGAATGTTAGTCAGACAGATACTTGGATGGTATTCTGTTGCTTATGTAATGATGTGCCATCTATATATAACTGTAGATAGTACATACAAATATAGTTAACCCTTTACCCACACATTTATGTGTTTACAGAAATATAAAAGACTGATCATTAAATTGACTCAGTTATTACATTTCTTGCAGCACCTAAACCTAATTTAATGTAATAAGTAGTCGACCAAATACTTCAACTTGATACGACAACCATTCCTTCTGACCAAAAATAAAAAATGAAAATATCATTTAGATTAAGACTTGAAAATTTTTTTAAACTTGGTAAACCATAATTTTTGCAAAAAAATAACCTTATAAGCAGGGTTGCACATTCAATTTTTGGTCTGGTTCTCAGGAGAGAACCTAGGGTACTCACATTTTCCTTCACTCATTTAACACATTTATCTATAGGGGTGTCAGGGCACCTAACGTCCCCCTGTTCTGTTTTATGACTCCTATCAGCTGCAACGTTTCAGAACATCATGCCAAATCAGTCCACTGAGTTTTTATTTGATTCTTTTACTCTGCATAAATTTTGTAAACTAAGTGGCCGAGGGGCTGGGTGTATGTCATATAAACATCACAAACTGAACATCCATCCATCCATCCATC